CAGAGCTACTTATGGCCTGTTTCGAAGTTCTAATACAATCCACGATCAGTGACTGCATTTTGAGCAATTGACAACTGACTTGTATTTACAGCCATTTACAGCATGGGTCTCCAACCTTGGCAAGTTTAAGACTTGTGGCTTTGCTGGCTAAGGAACTCTGGGAGTTGAAGTCCACAAGTCTTAAAGTTGCCAAGGTTGGAGACCCCTGATTTACAGCGTTGTATAGTCACATAACTCTGATTTTTTTTTGTATTTTGGCCAGTTTCTGGCATGTACTTCCAGTTTCCAGTAAAAAAAATTCACCATTGGGGAAAGGGGATTCATTTAACAACCGGGATATTTGCTTAACAGTCATGGCATTCGCTTTACAACTGCCACAAAAAAGGTTCTAAAATCAGGTGTAATTGGTACAGGGGTAGACTACTGGGGGTTCACAGGGGTTTGTGAGATCCTTTAGCTAAGATTCTGCACAGTTTGGAGAACCCCCAAGTCCAGGGGTGGGATTCTACAGGTTCGCACCTATTTGCTAGAACCGGTTGTTAACATTCTAAGCAGTTCAGAGAACCGGTTGTTAGAAGAAATTACTGGCCTGATCCTGTAAGGAAGGCAGGAAGGAAACATTCTGGTGTTGCTTACAGAAACTGCCTCTCTGTTAACCCTTATTACATTCTTGGCAGGACTAGACTTCCTGTCTCAGGAACTTCTCTGCAGTTTTCCCCCCCTTCTTTGCTGGTACTTTGCTTGTGTGGAATGACCATTCAAAGTTACAATGGCACTGAAAAAAGTGACTTATGATCGTTTTTCACACTTGCAACTGTTGCAGCATCCCCACAGTCACGAGAGGCCAGGCGAGGAGATGCGTGCTTCGATGCGAGTGATATTGAGTTGGCCACGCCCAGCCAGTCACATGGCCACCAAGCCATGCCCACCAACTAAGCCACGCCCACAGAACCGGTTTTTAAAAAAATTGAATCCCACCCCTGCCCAAGTCCCACTCCTGGCTGGCCCGGGCCACCCTGCCCCTCCCCTCCTAGGAGTTCGCATTTGTCCTGTTTTGGATGCAGGTAAGTGCAGGGTGCACATGGAGGCTCAGGGAGGGTGAAAAACAGGTCTCCCAGAAGTTTGGGAAGGCCGGAAACATGCCTCTTTCTGGCTTCCAGAGAGCCTCTGGAGCCGGGAGGGCCCTTTTCACCCTCCCGGAGGCTCGAGGAAAGCCTCCAGAGCCCGGGGAGGGCAAAAATGTTCCCCATGGTTCAGGAGGCCGAGTAGGCCATGCCCACCATGGCCATGCCCACCCAGCAACTGGGCAGAGAACCCATTGCTAAAATTTTTGAAGCCCATCCTTGAATCAGTCATGCGGTGAAATCACAACTTATGACTGTAATTCCAGGCTCAATTACAGTCAAAAGTTGAGAACTACCTGTTGTTATTCTATCAGTAGTATAAACTATTCTAGTTTGTCAAGAGCTTCTCATTCTGCTAAGATGCACAGAAAGGAAGGGAAGCAGACTCTTCTGAGTACCATCTCTCTCAATGATTTTTTTCTTAGTTAGAAAAAGAATACTATAAAATATGGGATTTATTTTATCAATGTTTAGATAGAAAAATTGGAAAATGAAATATATTACAATATAAATATAATAGTAAGTATAAAATAATGGTAATGATATTTTTAATTGATTATTATGGAAGTATAATGCAAGTTAGAATTTGTAAAAATTTGAGATTTGCACAAAAAGGACAATGTGAATTTGCAATTAAAGCCTAATAATGATGTAATGATAACATAAAGTGATATGGAAAGCTGATTAATATATGAATATAAATTTAAATCTAAGAGGGAAGACGACAGATATTGTGCACAAGAAATATGTACCAACCAACACACTGTATAACTGAAAGGTTTTATTTGTTATTTTGTGTTTGTTTGTTGTCAAAAAATAAAAAAAACTTATTAATTTTTTTTTTCTTACCTCATCTTGCAATAGCCATTACAAAAGGATATGCCAGAGGAAGAGATGGAAAACAAGGTCTTCCTAAGGCTTTGCTAAGAGATCAAATCTTTTAGTTCTCTTCAGGAAGGGTTTCGTATAATAGCATAACTTGTTTTTTCAGGAACTATTGTTTGTTCTGCTCTTTCCTTCTCCAAATTAAACTACCTATTTCTGTTTTGTGTTGGGTCCAAGCCAGAGAGAACTGCCTTATTATTGGTGCAGGTTGTCTCCTTAGGGTTTTTAACTTCTATACACTCATCCAACCACTGGGTTCCTCCTTAAATTTCATTAACTATGACATAAAGATTACTCAGTTTTTACATAACACATCTTCATGATATTGGCTTCCACACATACCCACTCTACTGTTGTACTTCGCTATCTAGTTTTAAAGCATGTGTTTCCATTTTTTTCTGAAATAAATCATGCTTTCTGAACTATCTATGATGCCTCATTTAGGAAATCAGTGGCAACATAATTAAGGGCTCAGGATCTCTCATACTACAGGATTTTTGCAGGCAAACCCCTCGCATCCAATCACTGGGCACTATCCTCCATCTTCATGTTGGCTTGTACTGCTGGCTAAGATCAAACATCTGGTTTCCATTATTACTCACATAATACTTGACCAGACATTATGCAGGTTTCTTATGTAACTGGGTTTAGTATTCATCTGGAAGTGCACTATATCTGCTTTAGACATGGATTTAGTAATCTCTTGAAAGGGGTGCTAGTCTTGATTTACAAAAAAGGTCAGGTGTTCTGGTCAATTTAAATTGGGAATGAGAGATGGCTTCTGTCAGTTGTCTGCTGGTTCTGCTCCAAATGAGTGGAGTACAGATTTTTCACTATCTGATGACAAGGGATTTGTACACAGTAGTTCTATTGTATACTGATTTTATTATGGGATAGGCTAGGTGTATTGGATCTGACTTGACAAAATATGAATAGATAGCAATAAGGATTATAATTTATATAATGTTAGGTTTTACAGCCCAAACCTGGTAACCTTGTATAAAACAAGGGGAATTTCCTCTCCCTCCTTCAGAGTGTGTGTGTGTGTGTGTGTGTGTGTGTGTGTGTGTGTGTGTGAAAAGTCAAGATAATGAATGAAAAGATTAAATCAAAGCCCCACCCTTTTATACAAATATGCTGGGTGATGCTTTAATTGCACCATTAGCTGTGGTAGCATAGTGGTTAGAATGCAGTATTGCAGGCTAATTCTGCTGACTGCCAGCTGCTAGCAGTTTGGCAGTTTGATTCTCACCGGCTCAAGGTTGACTCAGCTTTCCATCCTTCTGATGTTGATAAAATGAGGACCCAAACGAGGATTGTTGGGGGCAATATGCTGACTTTGTAAACTGCATAGAGAGGGTTGTAAAGCACTGTGAAGCAGTATATAAGTCTAAGTGCTATTGCTATTACAATTGTCATCTTGATTTCCTGACTTGCCACTCCTCATACGGTGTATATTGCTATAAGATACTATAATTTGCAAGTGAGGAAATTGCCTCAAAGCCTGAAATTTTAAAAATGTTCTAATTTAGTATAATGATTCTGGGCTACAAATATCCAAAAATAAGCAAAGAGTTAATTTTGGGGGGGTATATTTTTTGCTGCAATTTGTCATGTCTGGTTTTTAGCCCAGATCTGGTAATCCTGTTTAAACATAGTTTAAAGGAAAATCTCTGGTAGAAAGTGAGATGCTTGCAAAGCGGCCCACGTTTAACTGTAATAGGCTTTAAGTGTCAAAAAGTTTAACCCAAACCAAACCCCATGCAAGTATAGTTGTTTCTTCCCTCAGCTGTCAAAACTCAGTTTGCATTTAGTCCATCGCTCACTGCTCTCAGTTGACATTCATAGTTTCCATGTATTGTACGCTTATAGTATTAGATACAAATTCATGTTGGACATGGGTATGACATTAAATATGTACAATCAAGTTGTTCACTTCTTCTCTTTCCTTTCTTCTTTCCCAGCATTTCACAAGGGATTAGGTCTTTGCATAATGTATCCAAAATTTGATAATTTGAGTCTGGTCATTTATGTCTCAAGGGAGAACTCTGAATCAATTTATTCTACAACCCTTTGTTTTTCTTTGTTATCTATTATACATGCTCAATCACAAACTAGACAACCTTATTTTAACCTGAAATATTATGCAGATGCAAATAATATGGTTTTATTCTAATCTAAATAGAACAGCTGATGAGGGCCATGACACAGAACTCATCCATTGGGTAAGGCCCCAAACCAATATTATTAAATTTGTTTATGGGCTTCTGAAACCCATCATGTTTTGAGTTAAGCCCAGGAAATCAAACTGTGTTAACTCAATGTATCAATTATGGCTATATACTTCCTCCAACTGTCAGAAACAATATTTTTATTTATTTATTTATTTGATTTGCCAATTGTTTACAAGATAATAAGTATAAGTGTATACATAGTTGTGAATACATGAAATGGGTACATATAAGAAAAATAAAAGAATAAGAGAAACAATAGGACAGGGACGGTAGGCACGTTGGTGCGCTTATGCACGCCCCCTAATGTGGTAATGTGTCTCATTACTAATGGTAATGTGTCTCATTACCATTGGGTAAGAAATATGGGTAGTCATATTCTGCTTGTACCACTTCATAGTCACTATTACTTACAAGGGTAGAAAGTTGGACTAGACACTTACTTGGTTTGTCTGTGGACAGCTCGTAAGATACAAAGAAACAATGTACAAAGAAACAGAAAAGTGTAATGTAGCAAAATGCACAATTTCAGGTAAAGCTGGCTGTGCACAGCCTCTGTAGCAAATTCATCCCACGTTGTATAAATTACAAGTATTTAGGTAACAAAACAAAATAAAGTAAAATGAGAGTTCAAAAAATTAATCAAAATGAAACTAAAGATTCTGAACAATAGCCAATTTCGACGCTCTTGCTAGCTGGGACGATTACAGTACTATAAGCTTTGCTGAAAGGCAGTAGGCTAGCCGACTCGTTAAGTCCAAGGGTCCTTCCGAGGCAGGAAGAGATCGCATTACGCATGCTCTTTCTTTTCCAGCTTTCGTCCCGAGAGTGCCGCCACGGTAAGGCCTGGCTCGTATTAGTCTATCCCCCGCGCATCGTCCGCATCCTACGTTTGCACTGACCGGGACACCTCCTTGGCGCCCTTAGGCACTCTGTCGTTTATTTTCGTTGAACTCGATTTGGCCGGGGAGAAGCGAGGCTCGAGAAAAGAAAAGTGGAATTGGGATGCCGTTTGGAAGGCGGGCAGTTTAGTAATGCGGGCCGTGCCTTCTGAAGAGAGAACGTGGGGACGTTTCTGGCGCTCTAGGATGTAGCAATACACTTCGTCCTGTGCATCGCAACTTGGTTTTTTTGGGGGGGGTGGGGGGGGAACATACTGTTCGATAGTGTAAGCCTATCTGCAGTTTGTGTGGCCCTGTTTGCATGGAGTGTCCCCCCCAAAAAGGTTAAAGTTATGCATAAAGATGAAGATTTCACTAGAGGCCAACTAGAAAGAGAACTGATCCCTATGCAAGTGTATGCTAGAATTAATAAGAGATGCATATTATCATGCCTGGTGTTTTGTAGCAGATTGAACTGCCAAGCATTTCATTGGAACTTTCATCCACGTCTCATCCTCTAGTTATTGCTATTTTTGAGAAAGAAATATGTCTCAGTGTTGGTGATTTGAGATTCAATTTTTTTTCTGCTTCCTGTTAAAACATGGGACATGATAACTGAGGTGTCTTCCTGAGACCACACCAGTCACAGCAGATAACATTGGCCAGTAGAAAAATAATCTTGAGTTAACATAGGTGGTCTTTCTCTGATGTTTCTTTAACTTTGTAGTGGTTGGGATACACAAGTATGTACTTTTACCTTTCAGGTTTTTGGCCCAGGAATAAGCTAATGTAGTAACTTGTGCAGTGTTTCTTGATAACTAGTGCTTGTTTGAACTGGAGAAGAGACTGCAGGTGACAACAAAATCTATATTTCCCACAGATGTTGATGCCTAAAAAAAATCGTATTGCAATCTATGAACTCCTTTTTAAGGAGGGTGTGATGGTAGCCAAGAAGGATGTCCACATGCCTAAGCATCCAGAACTAGCGGACAAAAATGTGCCCAACCTCCATGTCATGAAAGCAATGCAGGTAAATGCAAGTTAAACTGATCATTGAATTGCCTTGATGCAATTGGTTTTAGTTTACACTGACACTTTTCAATATAATTCTCCATACCTTTCTGCCCTTGCAAACCCCTCTTGTTTCCACCATGGCCATATACTCTCTTTTGCTCTTTAAACTGTTTCTGAGTATCTCACAAGTTTCATAACCTCCGCCCTCCCCAATTTTATTGGCCTTTCCATTGCTATCAATTATAATCACTCTGTCTTATATTTGTTTTGCTGTTTTTATTCTCTTTATGACCAAACCAATGCAATATATTAGTTTCGTAGTGGTAGTTCACTTTTGTATTGATCACATTCACATTCATTCAGCACTCACTCATTCTTCATTTTATCTTTCTGTTTTACCACACATGCATCTTAATTCAATTTATTTTTATGTTTTTTTTCTGACATACCTAGTTCTTCCTCTATATAGTGAGCACAGTTATACTCTTACATGTAGTCATTTTCGCTTTTTTTGTACAAACATTCCTTGCTGCAGACTACATACTGCCAACCATTTTTCTGCCAATACTAGTCTCTTGAAATTTCTCCTATTTTTCTGCTTAAAAACGTTCTAAGTATATAGATTTCTCTTCCTCTACATATTGCCATTTATGTATAATTTGAACTTGTTCCATTTTCCCAGTCAGACACATCTATTTTGTTATTCAATATTTTTAGGCCTTCTTGTATTGTATAGTCTACCTTGGCTGGGTTCTCCACCAGCACAGCATTGTTTGTATACAAAGGTATGCATAAGTTCATGTCCTCAACCATCCTCTAGTAAATGCCTGTGGATACCTATCATTGCTACAGGCATTTAGACTACCTCTTTCATTTTAAGAAAGAAAAGTTAATAATAGGGCATGGCTGTTATATTTAAGTAGTGCTGTGGAAATAATTCCAGGTACAGTACTATCTTAATCTTCCATGGCAAGCTGATCCTGAGAAAACTTGAAGTGGGATTTTAAAAATGCAAATATACTCTTTTCCGTTAGCTCTGGTTGGGATTAAGAGCAGTTATTAGGTTTGAAAAAGTTGCACTTTGTGAAGTAGCAGTATTTTTCTAATTCTTAATATAGAGAAAAGAACAGTATTATCTGTTTATAATATTACAGGATATATAGAAGCATGGTTGAACAGGTCAGGATAGAAAACTAGTTGGCTTTAATTATGTCTTTAAAACATTGTTCTTTTCTACAACAAGTAATTAATGTGTCTTCCTAGTCCCTGAAATCTCGTGGCTATGTGAAGGAACAGTTTGCCTGGAGGCATTTTTATTGGTATTTGACCAATGAAGGCATCCAGTACCTGCGGGATTATCTCCACCTACCACCTGAAATTGTGCCTGCCACTTTGCGCCGCAGCCGTCCTGAAACGGGCAGACCCAGGCCCAAAGGTGAGTTTTGCTTTGGAAATATAGAATTTCACTTTGATAGTTTTGATTTATTAGTGAAATTTTGATTGCTTCTCTGGATCTGATATTTATTGCCAAGATAAATATTTTGGAAGGGTTCTTTAATTTTACTTAAATATTTATATTGCATGTGTTAAGAGTTTAAAGCAAATAATAAATCATTAATTTAAAATATTCTCTAATGCATTGTTTAAGTTGTAAAATAATTGACAAAAAATTAAATGATCCTTGAGATCTATTTCTAAAACAAAAACACACACACATAGTTTACGTAGTGACCATTTTGCAAGAACTAATTGCAGTTGCTACATGAGAACTGTAGCACCAAACATTTTGGTACTCATCATAGTCTTCTTTAGAAAGAAAGCATGTGCTTATTACACTAGTATAATGCTCTCTTTTCTAGATTGCTTCTGGTTTTGATTATGTTCACATAAATTGACAACCATATTTTTTTGAAATTAGTTCATTAGGGAAATACAATAAAATTCACTTTCTCACAGGATTGTCCATGATAATTAATTCTAGCAACATACATGAGCAGTATTTTTTAAAATGTAAAATATTTTTATATCAGTGATACTTAGTATTCAATTAAATTTTCAGTGCAGGTAGTTAAGTGTTTATCTTATTTAAGTTGCGCACTGCTTCAGTTTCAAAAGACTTAGAACTATTAATAATTTGTGAACAGAGCACAGTACCTATAATTTTTTCCAGGTTTTTGTATTATAGCTACTTGTTTTCAATAATCTCACTTTCAGCTGAATTATAGCTCTAAAATGGGTTAGGTTGCCACTTGCAATGAAAGTAGTTCTGTCTCTTGTTTAAAGAAATAATTTAAATTGAAATGGGGATTTTGTTATTGGGTCTGTAACAGTAAGAATACATGATTACGGAATGGGCAGTAGTTTTCATTGACCTGTTAAAAGTTAGTAGTAGTTCTAAAAAGTGACAAATTTGAAATTCACCTTTCAATTAATATATATTCTGGCTAGAGATGTGCTATACTTCAAATTTGAAGCCAAAAAATGTCTTGGAATGACATATATCCACTGCATCTGGTGGCACCTCTTGAAGGAAGCTGTATCTTCTGAGGTTTATGATTAGCCGCACTATCCCAGGAAGATACACTATTGAATTAAGAAGATACTGACAGTGTGCCACAAGCTGTTTCAGAATGTGAATGTGCTTTAATTGAATATTTTCCTAGGATTATATGGCTACTATGTTAACGAAGGAAAAGACACCCATTTTTTAAAGGAAGCATTGTTGGGTGGCATGCATACCTATCCCCATCCTGAAGCAGCTTTGGACTTTGTGTTTGTATAGGTAGTCCCCAACTTACAATCCCAATTGAGACCAACGTTTCTATTGCTAAGTAAGACTTTTGCTACGTGAAGTTTGCCTCTTTTTACAACCTTTTTTGCCACAATTGTTAAGTTGTTAAGTAAGTAATACAGTAGTTACGTGAATCTGACTTCCCCAGTGACTTTGCTTGTTCAGAAGGTCGCAAAAGGTGAGCACATGACCCTGGGACACTATAACCATCATAAATTTGAGTCACTCCAAAGTTTGATCATGTGTCCATGGGATTGCTGCAATGGTCGATAAGTGTGAGAAATGGGCATATCACCTTTTTTGTGTCGTAACTTTGAACGTTCACTAAATGAATTGTGGTAAGTCGAGGACTACCTGTACAGCACTTCCCTAATGAAGACAGAAATTTGGTCCTGATGGGACATGGTGACTAGTTCAGTTAATCCTGTTTGCAATGTTTAGATACCAGCATGAATGTATTAATTAGATTTGGGTGTATTTCTCATTTAATTCAGAGTGAGCTATAGGTACAGTTTGAATTTATTACTATGGGTGGCATGTTGGATAATTTATACCATTAGATTAACAGGACTGGCCTTTAGAATGCTGGACACAGTGGATGGGCAGTACAGGAAAAAGAGCTGAAATGAATAGGTTTTGGGCAACTTAAAATAATAATCAATAAGGTTGATGTGAGGAGAAAACAACAGCTAGAATCATTATATTTGCACTTGGTTCCAGTGAATCATAAACATATCTTTTCTATGGAAGTGGTAGATAAAAGATTTGCATCTAACTGGTTAATTTGGCTTTTACCACAGAATTGATATTATCAAACTTTTTAAAAATCTATCTTCAAAAGTAATGAATCTAGTGTCATTGTAAATACCAGCTGAATCATAATTTTGCACCTTCAGACTAAATTGTGAGGTTTTTCATTTTTATTTTTTTAGGTTTAGAGGGTGAACGTCCTGCTCGTCTTACACGAGGAGAAGCTGATAGGGACACCTATCGAAGAAGCGCAGCTCCTCGTAAGTACTAACTTTATTGCTGAACTGAAGAGTTAACTAGCACTCTCGTGTTGTGTTGCCTTGGCCATGAACTTCTGCAAAAGGAAGAATTGTCCTTTCAGTTCTGTTGTGCTTTGGAAATACTCTGAGCTTAGAAGGACAGTGTTGTTGTGGAAAATAGTTTTCATCCAAGCTTTGTTCTTAGCAAGCAGGGAAAGGAATGCTTGCTAGGGTAAGAACATACACTGACTTCAGCAATAAAATTGTATAACTGACTATAAGTTGTATCTGGACTTCTAGTATCCTAATAAATTTTAGGCATATCTACGTGCAATAGAAATTTTCATATATAGCATTCTTATCTTAATATTTTTTTTTGCTATCAGCTGGTGCAGACAAAAAGGCAGAAGCTGGTGCTGGGTCAGCTACTGAATTTCAGTTTGTAAGTATGATGTATTTTACTACATTAAACATTCATGCTAAAAATATGCTGCAGTTTAAATATAAAAGTGAAAGAACAGCATGCCATGATGACTAGGTAATGCAAAATCCCATCAAGCATTAATCATGAAAATGTAGTTGTGTTCACCTTTGTAGAAGAAACATCTCGTTGCATGAAAAATATTACTGTTTGGTTTAATAGAATTTAGATTTTCATCTGTACAGATAGAAATGTAGATTCAAATATTAATTGCCAGTAAGTATAAAATACTGTTTATGAGTTTATTTTTTGCTTGTTTCAGCAGTAACAATGTGGTACACCTAGGGAGCTTCATTCCTCATACAAATAATGGCAACTAAATAGAGAAAATATTTACTAATAAAGCATTGCTTCTTTTTTTATTTTTGAGCTATGATTCTCTTTAATTGCCTTCTTTTCCCAAACATAATATGAGGGACTCAGAGGAGTTTAGTAAGTTTAATTTAACCGTTATTGACCAAATTGCACCATGATTGAAATACTTGAGATTCAAAAGAAATACTTTCCAATATTTGAGCTATGACTTATCATCTTTTGCTCCTGCCCTTTAGTTTTTCTACCTGGGGTAACTTCAGACTTTTTTTGTCCAAATGCCCAATAGCTTGAATGATGGCATCACTACCCTACTTTAATGTTCCTAGTTTACTTATTTTTAAATTCTGTCAACCCTCTTTTTCTTTAACTCATGGAGTAATTGTGAAACAAGCTTATAATGTTTTCTTTTTAATTTACAGAGAGGTGGATTTGGACGTGGGCGTGGTCAACCCCCTCAGTAGAAAACTGTTGGTGTTATTTGCATCTTGTGTATAATAAAAAGGTGAAAAAACCCCCCACTGTATTCTTGAATCATTTCATTAACATGCTGAAATGGTGATGCATTTTTAAGATACAAGGTTCTAATTTTTCCTTTCATATGTGGGAGTTACACTCCAAAGGTGGATTTACAGGGAATCTTTGCTGTTTTAAAGGTTTGTTCCAAATTTTCATAGGTTCAAATAAGGTCTCCAATTAGATAAAGACTTTATAGTAGCCATTATTTCCTGGTCTACTAGTAGCAGTCTCGTAGCATATAGCAGTCTCATGTCCTGATATTGTTTATTATCTATTTCTTTGCTAAAATAGATGATTTATACAAATCAACAAATTCTGACTAGTTTGTTCTGATTCTGAATTTGTGTTTCCTTGGCTCATGGCATTGGGGTTTGGGTTTATGTTATTACAGTATGTTGCAGCATCATTCACTTAGTGACCACAAGATGGCTCATGTGAAGGTTGATCTCACCTAGCTTTATTCTCAGAACAACCCCAGGGTGAAGTGAGGTGGGCTTAGGAAAGTATGTGATTAGTCTATAAAGTCATCCAGTTAGCTCTATGGTTACTGTAAATGAAGGTTTAAATCTGGTCCCAGTCATAAAACAGAATACACTTTTCCTGGTTCTAGCAATTAATCATTATATAACTCTGTCATAGCTCACTATTCATTTTACCAGTAGACCTTAAAAATTTCTGCCTAGTGTTCAATAATAATGATGATATTAATATTGGATTTTTTTATATATGTTGTGCTTTAATGGCCTCTTATGTCCAGATGAAGCATGTGGCTGGACTTAGTCTCTTGGAAGTGCTCTGGAGATTTAGGTGGTTTATGATACAGTATGGACATAGATACTTTATTTTGTATACAAGTATATATACGTAAATAATTTATATATTTTTATCATAGCAACTATTTGTGTACAAGTATATATACATAAATAATTTATATTTTTTTATCATAGCAACTATGTCTGAACATTGAGGAAGAATTTAAGTCTTCAAGCTCCTGGTACTATTTTAAACAGATTTCAGTTTGCTCCATGGCCAATTCTGTGTAAAATATGCAGTTGTGATTATGGACGAAACTCTAATCTCGATTTTTAATAACTTGATAGGATCTTAACGAAAATTCCACCCTACATTATTGTGCTGCATATGGTGATTTGGCCTTAGCTTGTGGAATGTGTAGGTTGAAAACCAAAAATCTATTTACTAGCTATCAAGTGGTTTATTGTGAAGAACCAAATACCTCAATATACAAAATACTGCTGATACTAAAAAAGTCTTGAGATAGTAATTTCTTGCTCACCAGCAATCATTTCAAATGACAAATTTCACCAGTCAATTTTGAATTTAAAAATTATAGATCCATAATAGAGCTAATAATTTGCTGATATTTAAGGGACATTCTTGTATAATTTTAAATAAAGATACAGCCTACTAAATACATTATTGGAATTCAGGTGAAGATTATGATAAAGTTTTAGAAATATCCCATGTAGTTATTTTTTTTTTTACAGAATAGTAATTGTGATGTCCTTTACTAATTAGTGCACTTATTCATATTATACATTTTAGTCAACACTAGAATAAGATAAATGCCATTTATTTTATTTGAAAAATGAAAATTAGGTTTCAGGCTTGATACAAAATGAAAGATAAAAGTAAACGGGACATAATCAGAAATATATATTAAATGGTTTTGTGTGTGTATTGAAGCAAATTTGAATTTGTCTTGCAGAGTTTTTCTGACCTTGGTATTAATTGTTTCGCCTAATAATTTTTACTTTTCTATATACAGGTAGTCCTCCACTTACAACAGTTCATTTAGTGACCGTTCAAAATTAGAACATTACTGAAAAAAGTTTTCACCCTTATGACCATATGGTCACATGATCAAAATTCAGGTGCTTGCAACTGACTCCTATTTATGATGGTCATGTGATCATCTTTTGCGACCTTGTAAGCAAAGTCAGTGGGGAAACCAGATTCACTTAACAGCTGTGTTACTAACTTAACTGCAGTGATTCACTTAACAACTGTGTGAAGAAAAGTACAGTGGGACAAAACTCACTTAAATGTTTCACTTAGCAACATATTCTGGGTTCAGTTGTGGTCGTAAGTTTAGGACTACCTGTATTACTGGGAAATAGTGATAGGAATCAACCAAGTTCTTGTATTTTTTTTTTCAATTTCTTCAAAATCATTCAGTCAACAGCACTAAATTGGGGGTGGTTAACTAAAATAGTAATACACTCTACTTGGTTTCTATTGGTTGCTTTTTCTGACTTAAGGAATTCCCAGATATTCCAAACAATTAGCAAATCCAATCTGAGCTTCAGTTTCATAATTTTATTAGTCGGTACATTAATTAATTATTCATGTGAGATAGGCTGAGCTGAGGGAGCCAGTTTGGTGTGGTTAAGGTATTAGGCTAAAAACTGGGAAACTCTTCTTGTGTCTTGGACATGAAGCCAGCTGGGTGACCTTGGGCCACACTACAGGGACTAGCTACTAGGCAGTTGCCAAGAATCAAGGGAGACTGATGGCACAGCAAAAAAAAGCTGAGCTGAGAGTGCGACTCTGAGTCATCCAGTGAATTTCACAGGTTGACGAGGAAGCTTAAACTTAAATCTCCTCACTGCCTTACGTATACTTTTAAGCAGCACTTCATTGGCTCTTAGTTTAGAAGATATTTTATAAACTTTGAGTCACTGGAGAGGACTACTGTAGGATGTCTGTGGCTTCTGGAGAAATGTCATGTCATGAGCCAACAACACCAACAAGCTGGATGCTGAAATAACTTCTGGAATTGATCTTACCCTAAAAATAACTGCTGAATGCTTATAATCTATATGCTACCAAAGCTCTCATTGTGACCTTTGAGTGAAACAGTGCATCATAGGGCAACAACTTTTGAATCAAGGTACCCCAAATAGGCTAAATTACAGTCCAGTATGCCTCCAAATCTGGGACCCATGATTCCCAAGATAATGAAATTTGGGGAAGTTGTGACTGCTTCAGTACTACTGGCTGCTGCTTCATTTTCAATTTTCCATGACATTTTCCAGCCAGTCTTGCAATCCATCGTTCCCTCCTTCACCCAGCAGTAACCACTTAACCTATTTGCTGGGAAGGGAAGGGATATTTCTGATGCTTCCTGCCAGATTCCCACAAGGAAACAAGATGGGGAAGGAAGTCAAAAGTTGCTCTTGCTCCCACTCCTCCTTTGTCTTCCCTAGGTCATTCTGGTTGTGTGTCTAGGTAAAGAAATACAGGTAGTTCTCGATTTACAATGGTTCATTTAGTGACAATTCAAAGTTACAATGGCATTGAAAAAAATGACTTATGACCATTTTTCATACTTATGGTCATAGCAGCATCTCCATGGTCACGTGATTTACACTGGATACTTAACAATTAACTCACATTTCTGATGGTTGCAGTGTTCCAGGGTCATGTGATTCCCTTTTGCGGTCTTCTGACAAGCAAAGTCAATTCAGAAGCCAGATTCACTTAACAACCAAGTTACTAATTTAAGAACTGCAGTGATTCACTTAACTGTGGCAAGAAAAGTCATAAAACGGGGCAAAACTGAACAAAATCCTGAACAACATAAACTTTGGGCTTAATTGTGGTTGTAAGTTGAGGACTACTTTTACCTCTATGACTCAACAGAGCATGGGTTGTCTCATGTCTTTTGCAACTTAACCACTTCTTATTCTAATCATTGTGATTGTGGATGGCTAGCTAATAAGCTTGCATGTTGTATCAGAATATGATACCACATAAAGAACACATCGCCTAGTCGCAAAACATGATGTCTGAGTGGGAGTTACAAGTATTGCAAAACTTGACAGCATTCTCCTAACAAGTTTAATTTAGTACAGGTAGTCCTCAACTTACAACCATAATTGGGGCCAGTATTTCTGTTGCAAAACAAGGTGGTGGTGAAGTAAGTCACACCTGACTTTACCACCTTTTTTTTTGCTGTTTTGTTAATGAATTACTGTAGCTTTTAAGTGGATTATATGATTAAGTGAATCCAGCTTCCTTCATCCACTTCACTTGTTGGCTGGGAAGGTTGCAAATGGCAATCACATGACCCCGTGATGCTGCAACCATTGTAAATACATGCCAGTTTCCAAATTTTGGTGATGGGGATGCTGCTATGGTCATAAGTGTGATTACTGGTGGTAAGTCACTTTTCTCAGTGCCATTGTAACTTTGAAAGGCTGCTAAACCAACGGTTGTAAATAAAAAGCTACAACCGCTTTAGTAAGTTTTAGACAATTATTCAATTAGAGATAGTCCTAGTTTAATGACAATTGGGATCTTCAACTCAGCAGCCGCCAAATGAAACCACGGCTATTATGTTCTTGTTTCAGCTTTCTTTTGCTTTACAGACCTGCAAAGATAGGAAACGCAAGGATTGGTTAAGTGATTTTTTTTCATCATTTACATGACTGAGTGGTCACTAAATGCAGTGCTAAAGGAGAACTATATATATTCCGATACAGTCTCAACATCTGTTTTCTGTTAGTTTTGGACCGATGGATTTTTCCTTTAATGATGTATTGACTTCTTTGGGCTATTTATGTATATATTGAATCACTGAATCTTTCTAACGTTAAAACAACAGTTCCATTTTTAATAATATTAGTAAATGTTATTCATATATTTAGTTGATTCCAATATAATTTTTGTTTCCTTTTTATTTCAATAGAGTTTTTATTTCCTATTCAAATGGAATACACAAGGAATTGGCTTATGAATTCTGTATCTCCAAGTATAGCTCCATTATTAGTTTTGCCCATATGTGGTATCTGTTTTTTCCTAAATAATATACAGCACTGGAAATACCCCATTAATTTTGGAAGAGAATCTCAATCTGTACAATCCATTTAGAAAATGATTAATTTTGGAAGAGAATCTCAATCTGTACAATCCATTTAGAAAATGATGATCCTTCAGTCTTCTCTGGGCATCTAGGCAGAAATCAGCTAGAGGTGCAATGCACAGCTGGCAATTCATGGGTAACAAGTAATATCCTGATCATATTGCTAGCAGTTCCCAGAATAATTGATTTCCAGAAGCACATTTTTCTCAATTGAAGATGTAATTCTGAGAGACAAACTGATTTTTACCCTTCCATGGCCATTTTAAATAATTTATACACTTTCAGGTTGAATTGGCATTTTGGGATAGATTATGGTATTTTCAAGGATGAAAGTAGAAGTAGTTTTAAATCTCAGAAATTTCCTATTCCTATCCCACTTTCCAACCTTGAAAGAGAACTTTCCGTATTACCGTGTTTCTCATATAATAAGGCTGGGTCTTATTTTTTTTTGAGCCCTGAAAAAATGGCTAGGCCATCTTTTCGGGGGGTGACTTAATTCCCCTCCCCTTGCATCTTCGGGCGGGCGGGTGGGCGGCGATGGCTTGGATGTTGACCTTGGCGTTGGTGGGGCACTTCGTATCGGGGTCAACGCAGGCAGCACCATATCCGGGTGTGCAACAAAAGTACTTCCTAACGGCAAGCCACCCCACCATTCCCCACATTTCGCATGTTTTAATATAGGCCTTAATTTGGGGGGAGGGGCTTAATTTCATTTCATGCCTATAAAACATGCTGGGACTTCCTGTTGGGGGAGGCCATATTGTTGGAGAAACAGGGTACTTGTTATCAAGGAAAGGAGTTGAATTACTTACCCCTGTATTAATGAAATATAACCTGAGTAAATTTTTACCTATCCAAACAAGGGATATTTTAGTGTTATTTCTTCTATGTTAGGGCTGGTTAAAAAAAAATTAAAAGGCAAACTGAAAACAATTGGATTCAAAATAAATACTAGATTTAAGAATCCATACTTGGCTTAATTGGAATTCTCTCCCCAAATTCTGTGTACTTTCTTTGTCACCCCCAGGAAGCAGAATCCTTTCAGTCTTTTAAATTTTTCTTTCATGAATTTCAAGCATGCATCTGTTGTTTTTTCCTTTTATATTTTCCTAAATTGTCCCATGGTTCTTGGCAGCACTGATTTTTTTGATAGAAAAGAAAATGTGATCCACAGAAGTACAATAAAGATGGTGAGGAACTTGGAAGCTAAATTCTGTGAAGAATGGTTTTAAGAACTGGGTACATTTATGCTAAAAAGAAAAAGCTAAGGGGAGACACAGTAACAGTTGTGTACTGGCTGTGGTTTTATCCTCTGTAGTGTCCCTGGATAGGACAGGAGCCATTGAGTGGCAACTTTTCAGAGGGAATCCCAAACTTGAAAATTTTCCATCTTAGAGAGCTTTTCAACAGCAGAATAGTCTGCCTCCTGAGTTCTGGGTGCTCCACAAATTAGATTTTCAAATGTGTGACAATCATTTATATTAGATGGTGTGAGGATTCCTGCCATGGACAGGTGTTAGGACTAATCTTGAAGGTCTCTTCCAAACCTTTCAGGATTTGTTTAAAAACAACAGCATGGTTAGTTCTGGATCTTTAATAGTTCTGATGTGATTCACTGCTGATATTTTGTAATAGTCTGGTACAATGTATGCCCATAATAGAAACAGACTTTATACCATGGAAATTCCTCTGTGATAGGACTGTGTTTTGGATATATTTTCTTACACAAAACAATGAACAGAGAAAGTGGATGTGTATTTTGAGGGGGAAAATAAGTACAATATTCCATTTATTTGTAAAGTTTTAAGAGATTCCTTTTCAATCTTCTCCCATTAAACATTCTCCTCCACTGGCCATCTGTTTGTACATGGAGTAGTCAGCATTGTACACATGGCAACAGCACAAACCCTGTAGAATTCTAATGCGATTCCATTGTTAATACAAATGCAATTACTCAAAACTGTTCTGTAGTTCACTCACATTTATTTTCAAATAAATAGAGGTACGCAGGCAATTAAAATTAAATGCCAATCCAACAATTTGTCATTTCATGTGAAACATGTTTGAAGCCAGTATGTTTCATGTTTGAAATTGAAATTCCAACACCAGCCTAGGCTTTGATTCTTAAACTCAGGTCCTTTTATCATTGGCAGCTGACAATATTGTATTTAACAATTTTTTAAAATTAAATCCCAACGAATCTACATGCAACTATTTGAGAGCATACCCACCACATACTTAAAAAACCCCATACAACTATGGCAATACTTCTGCACTCTTTATTATGTCTGCAGACGGCCACCTGGCAGCCCTGTTTAATGTGACCCGAGCCCTTTTGGATAAAAACTTGGAAGTTCATATACAAAGCCATGCAGTTGAATTTGCAGAGCATCTATTGGATAAAATTGCTTAAATTTACTCCCAGTTAGACACCAGTTTTGATACAGGTCAGTCTTTCCCTATTATCTGGGAATGGTTTGAATAGGATCCTGAATGTGAATTCAACTATCTGTTCATTAAATCCATTCTCTTCCTAGCTAGCTAAGGCTGCCTGAGGATGACATGTAGTTAAATTCTAACATTGGTGAACTCTTCCTTGAAAGGGAATTGTTTTGCCCCTTAAGGAGGCATTGGTCTGCTTCCTCAAGAAGCCATTGCTGGACCCCAACCTATTGGATAGTTTTAATCCACTATCCAAACACTCTCTTTTGGAACAGTTGTGAATAAGGTAGTCACACAAGACCTTCAGTAAGTGAATTGGATTATCTGGACTCTTTTAGGTCAGGATTCAAGCCTGGGCATTGGTTGGAAATGGCATTGGTTGGACTTTTGATTTTTGGCATGACCAGGATAGGGATAGTGTAGCCATCCTGGTTCTTGATATCTCAGCTACATTCAATACCATCAACCATGGTACCTTTTTTAGATTAGCTCCATAGGGAGGAGGAGTGGGCAGCACCAATGTTCTTGTTCTCTTCCTTTCTATGGAACCAATACCAGTTAGTGTTGATTGAATGTGAGAGGCCTTACTCTTGGCCCCTATTATGTGGAGTTCTGCAGGGTTTGGTACTGTCTCCATTCCGGTTTAACATCTATAAAAAGCTGTTGGGTGAACAGGTGGCAGTCGTGGCTAGAAAGGCTTTTGTAACAGTTCTGTGTTGGGCTCCAACTGCACCCATTCTTGGATCATGATGTTCTACTCATATTTATTTATGCCTTGGTCACCTCCTGAATGGACTACTGTAATAGGATCTACATGGAACTCGCCGGTTAAGCTTCGAGATATTTGAGTATCTAGAAGCTTAACTAATGCAAAATGTGGTGGCATGGGCAGTTATGTATGCCCTTAGGATTGCACACATTATACCTCTGCTCCATGAATTGCATTGGTTACAGGATGCAGGATTCCACTTTTAAAACCCTACATGTTATGGGACCATGTTACGTGAGGGACTACCTCTTCCCAATTACATCTACCCATTCTATGAGGTCCAGCAGAAGCATGTTACGGGTTCTATCTGACAGGACCCAAAATATGAGCCTTTCCTGCCATGGCATCTGTCCTCTGGAACATTTGTGAGGCAAGATTAGCCCCGTCCCTATTAGCCTTTTATGAATCTCTTAAAAAATGGTTTTTCAGCAGCGTTGAAGACCCCATGAAAAGAGGGAGCTTACAAACTGTTATATTGTATATATGGGGCGTTGGTTTAATGACCAGTTAGACCAATCAGAACTGAAGAAGCTTCTTGGATGAGAAGGCAAACATTTTCAAAATCTAGTTGCCTTTTGATCAGATAAGGTTCCTTTCTCACTAAGTAAAATACTGGTGCTTTCATTAAATTTTGAGACAATAAACTATCAGATTGTAGGTTAATAAAATAACAGCTATGCATGTTATTCATATTGCTAGTCAGGAGTTAAGTTGCACTGTGGTCACCTGCTCCTTTACAGGGCAGAGGTTAAATTTGCTGCTGAGGAAACAGGCTTTTCTCCCCCTTTTTCTTTCGGCAGACATCTTGTATTTAGAGCCCATTCCTGTCAACTCCGAATGAAGTTTGCCTTCTCTTATTCTTGCTATTCACCTGAGAAAAGCTAGCTTATGTCAAGAAAGGTGAAAGACAATGCGTTTTCTTTGGGGGAGGGGGGGTTGGGGCCAGTCGATGCAACTTTTTAAATAAAGGAACTAATTCCCCTTATGCAGACACGCCACCCTATCAATGACATTCATCACGATAGATCCACCTGCTTCAGGATACCTTTAGGGTAAAAGATACGAAAGCCGAACACGGTGGGGCATTGTACATTGCGAGTGACAAATTTTCACAGCTTTAATGCTCGGAAAATATGATTTCCCAGGAAAGCTAACAGATTAAGACACTCGCCGAAATACGAAGTGTCCATTTCTTTGAGAGTAACTGCAAATGCGCCATTCTCGTTTTTTTCTTGCCATCCCAGAGGAGACACCCTTTATTCAGCCCAACTGAAGCCGTCTGACCCCTCCCTCCTCTTTATCGAAGCTTTGCAACAAGACTTCTACGCTTTTGGCGTGCCGTTGCTCTCACAAGATGGGCATTGTTTCCTCTCACTGTACGCGATTTACGCAGCCCCGCGATTAAGCCCGAGAGCCCTGAGCAAAACGCTACGCCAGACGTCTCGTTTAGTACTGTGGCTTTCGCGTACGGCGACAGCGTAAGAGTGCGACGGCAGCGGAGCACATATGGTACCCCTCCCCGTGTTCTCGACACTCTTTGACTTATAGTAGTGCGGCTGGGCTCAAGCCTCGCGTTGGGAGACGCTCTCTGCAACGGGCGTCCGAAGCGGAAAGGGGCGAGTGATTCCCAATCCTTAGTTACGCTGCTTGCGTAGCATGCGCCGAAGAAGAAATCCCGGGCAGTGCTTTCCTCCACCCGCTACCTCTGCGCCGTTGACGTAGTATGCCCCAAGATGGCGCCGCGGTCGTCGTCGTTGGCGGCGGTGGCCGAAACGCTGGCAGAAGCTGCGGTGCTAGTCCTGAAACAGCAGAGAGAGGGAACAAGGCGGCGGGCGGACGGCGACAGTATTTGTAGCAAGTAGCGGTGCAGAGGGGGCTTCCCCTCCTTTTCGGCTGTTGAGTGAGGAGGCAGAGACTCTCTGGGATAGCGGGTCCCCCGCCCCCTTCTGGCAGGGAGACCCCAACCTACCCGCGTGCGGAGCCGACACCCTTTTCTCGGCTTATCTCGCTGCTGCCTCCCCGGTGGGCCTTCCCACCCTTTTCCCCGACCGGAGATGATGAAGCTCAAGTCCAACCAGACTCGAACCTACGACGGGGACGGGTACAAGAAACGGGCGGCTTGCCTCTGCTTCCGCAACGAGAGCGAGGAGGAGGTCGGTGAGCCGGGCGCTGTTAGGCTAGGTTGGAAAAGGGGGAGAGTCGGAGGAGAGAAACGGCCAGGGTGCTGCCATACCGGGGAGTTGCGGGGGGGTGGGTGGAGAAGAGGCGGGGAGCGGTGGTGTCGGCCAGGAACGGGACGACCGACATGAGAGGGCGAGAGAGGGGAGGTGTGACGAATTGGAGAGCTCTGAAGGGGGAGAAATGGGGGGCGGAGACGCTGGGTGGTACTCGACGGAGGATGGGGAGAGGGGCGGAGCTTGGGAGGGTGGCTGCTCCCGAAGAATTAGTCGGCCGAAGAGGAAGCGAAGGCTGGGAATGGCCCCCCGGTGCCCCTTCGGCCCGAGCTTACTAGTGGCTCCCATTGCACGCCTTCGGTTAGTAAGAGAGCGTGACGGACGGAGTTCCCGAGTGGCTAATAGTACGAGAACACGCGGCTGTTACTAGGCGAGAAGTGACTCACAACACTCCTTTGGCGCTCTCTCTCCCCTTTGTGAATCCATTTGTGGGAGGTGCAAATACTTTTGGGGCTCTGTGTAAAAAGACCATATACTCCCCGTTTGCCCCCTTTTCTCGTCGAGGGAATGTGTGCATTGTAAACGCTCATGATCTCCCTACAGTGAGATAACTGGGTTAATGCTAAAACGCAGGAATGGCTTTGAGAGCCTTTCTTCTGGAAACAGGACTTGTTATAAGTGCACACCCTTTTTCAGAAATGTCACACGTCTGCCCAAGGAGAAACAAGGGAGGAGGTGCATTGATCAGGGGATTATAATTACGTATATTCTTTAACATCAATAAGAAATAGGCGGTTGGATTCTTTATATGTGGTATGATTCTTTGTAGGTTGATTGCAGGAAGCCATATGTTTCAGCTGGGCTTTCCACCAAATATGTTTGCATAATTGGTTCTAGTCTGAAAGAGGGTGATGCATAGAAAAAAACTGGCATTAGAAGTTGCTGAAGAGGAAAATGTTTTAGTTTGTTACTGTAATTATTAAATGTTACTGATTGTTACACACATGCCACAGGTAGATTGCAGGATGGTGAAGACTGCTTGAATGAGTAGGAATACTACTTTTAAAATTATGTAAAACATCAAAGAAATTGATTCCACAATATTTGCACAATATTTTATAGTACAGTTGTGCTTGCTTATAGCTGTGGCAAATCAGCAATAGCCACTAGCAAAACATTCTTTTATGGAGTAAGAATAAGGTTTTTAGTTTAAGAATAACAGGAAAAAAATATCTCTTCATTTCCAGACTCTTCTAAATAAGTTTTTGTTCAGTTTAGAACTATTTTTGAATTTATAGTTAAGAAAGTTGATGAGTTTAATATACTAAGTTTTTTTTTTGTCAAAGGATAAAAGTCTGCAGAATGAAATACAAGTTATCCTCAACTTACGACATTTTGTTTAGTGACTTTTCAAAGTTACAATGGCACTGGAAAAAGTGACTTATGACCATTTTTCACTTAACAACCATTGCAGCATCCCCATGGTCATGTGATCAAAATTCAGATGCTTTTACAACTTTCTGACAAGCAGAATCAATGGGGAAGCCAGATTCACTTAACAACCATATTACTAATTTCACTGCTGTGATTACCTTAACAACTATGGCAAGAAAACTCATAAAATCAGGCAAAAGTTAACAGCTTTCTTGCTTAACAGCACAAAGTTTGGGCTCAATTGTAGTAAATTGGGGATTACCTATGTAAACAGATGTATATGGTATAATGTCTGAAATTTAGCACAGCTCTCCTGCTTCCATGGTCATTTAAGCATATTACATAAGATTGCAAGAAAGAAACTTATTGCTGGATCAGAAATTGCCAATAGAAAGATTTGAAAGGAACATGATCTTGATCAATTTTCATTATGATCATTGAAAGGAATACATACATTTGATTAGTACTTGAATTCAACATATTGTTTGCACCATACAATATTTAACTAAAAAAACCCTGTTTCTGATAATGTGTTTGGAAAAGTGATACTATTTAATTACTCGGGTATGTATAATATAATTCAACTAGTGTGTTATTGTTTGTAAGGCACTGTGTCTCATTAATCTATAGAATAACTTTGTAACATAGGTCAAGTATTGTTATGTCCACATTATACTTTGGGATATGAGAATGAGAGAGCATCCTGGCATTGACCACATAATGACTTTATTATATAGGAGAGACTAAAACTTGCTTCTTCCTGAAAGTTCTGTGTAAAGGCTGTATAGCTTCTCATTCATCTACTATACCATTTGTGGAAGTAAATATATGTTGTGTTGAGAAATGGAGCAGCAAGTACAGTACAAGTAGTCCTCAACTTTTGACCACAATTGAGCCCAAAATTTTTGAGTCAGTTTCCAAGCATCTGAATTTTGATCACATGACCATGGGGATGCTGCAACAGTAAGTGGAAAAAATGGCCATAAGTCACATTTTTTTCAGTGAAGTAACTTTGAATGGTCACTAAATATGAACTGTTGTAAGTCGAGGATTACCTATAGTCTCTTGAAGGTTCGTGGGCAATCTGTAGCAGTTTTGCTTCTGTCAACAGGTTGAACTCAGAAGCTTGAAGTTGATTGTCCACTTGGAGGCTATCTGCAGGATGGCACTGCAGAATAGTGGAGAACAAAGCAGCTTTCTGTTCCTGCATATAGCACGTGCAATATGGTGCATGGGCTCTTAATATGTTACAGGTTGCAAGTGTTCTTTTTTGTTGTAAAAATTATTATTGTCTAAATTCATTTTATATTTACATCTGAAAAGGAAAGAATAAATTATTAGATAAAGAATGAAGTGGAAAATAGTGTTTGAGGACATGAAGAATCACTTGGTGTTATTGTCTTATTTATCTCAAGTAATAAATAGAACTTAATAAGATTTAATTTTAATGTTCAATTTTATGTCACTGGCAAGAATTTATTATAATCATATGATACAATCTAGAACAGTTTTTTAGATGTACATAAACTAAAAATTGCACCAATACTTTAAAATGTTTGAATATAACTTTTAAAATACCATTTACAAATTAACTAGGAAAATATTATTTCTTCATCATAGTTATTAAACTACAAAACTGGGATAATTATTGACAAACATCAGAAGATCTGTAATAGTAAATCTGTAATAGGAAAATATAGTTTTAATACTACCAGATAAATAAAATAGTGTTGTGATGGATAGAAAAGAAGTAACTCTGATTTAATCACCAGAAAAATAAATCAGTAATTTAGAAAACTTTTAATCCCATAGTTTGTGGGAAAGACATTTATAATATTGCTATCTCTACAAAAAAACCTTACTCCTACTAGGCATCTGTTGCACTTCAGTTGGCGTGAATAGGTAATGCATACTGAATGCTGTGAACAGGCAAGCATTTACAGAAAGAAATGATCTTAAATTTTATATGATAAGTTATAACTGAGCAAATTTGGCACTTTAAAAATAAGGGTCAGTGTATCAATGTTAGTTGATAGTCTTTTTTAGGTACAAATCTGTTTAAAAAAATTCTTGCAAATGAACATGATAATAAATTTGAGTTTCTCTCAACTGGAGTGCCTTTGTTGTGGGGAGGCATTTTAGGTATTTTATATTGTGGATTTTTAATATTGTAAGCTACCTGGAGTCACAGTGTGTGAATTGACAGATATATGTTTGTTTAATAAATAATCTAGTAATAATGCTTAATAAGTGATGATAAGTCACCTACAATTTAGCATAATAAATGACCTGCCTCCACAATAAAAAAGCAACCAGCATCGTTATTATTTTTTAAATTACTAAAATCATTTAACGAAGGGCCAGAAAGAACAGATTGGTCTTCAGGATTTATAATGAAGTAACCAGCTAATCTCTTAATGAACACTTTTTCTAGAGGTAGAACCTCCGCAGAGAAGAGGTCCTCTACCTTGTAATAATTAACAGCTTTAGAAGTGAGCAACAGAAAATGTACAGTGCAATATAAACCTTATACCAAGGCAGGTTCAAGGTTTTCCTAATAATGTCTGATATCTGAACAAAGATGCTTAATGGTCTACTTTGCAGTATGGATTGATCATTGAGCTTTTTGTGGAAAACTTATTGTGTGTACTTTAAATGCAAAATATCTTTTGGTAATAGGTAAGATTTCTCAGGTGGCACATTAGGTTTTATATACTGTCCCCTGAAATAGGTGAACTAATGTGCCAATTATTATATCTTTTAGGTACCTGTTAAAAACCTATCCAGGCCATCTTTGTATGAATACTGCTTGGTTTTTGTTTGTTTCTCCCCCTCATTTCTACTCTCTCTGAGCACATGCATGTATTTATACTGTATTATAAAATAATTATTGTGTTGGTAATTGGTAAATTGTATAAAATATATTTGTATATATTGTAAATTATATTTTACAGCAGATGTAAAGTCTGGTTCAAAATAATGCCTTTCAGTTGTTAATAATGAAATTCTACAGATCAGCTTCTGGAACACTGAAGATTTTGGATTTATTTCATTGTTTTAAAACATGGTAGTGAAATCATTAAGATAATTGATTGTAGGCATATTTCAGGTTCCTTAATAATATCTCTCTAGAAAAACAGACATGGCTCAGAATGGAGGAATTGATAATCTTTCAAACAACTGCCCAAATAGTTGTCCCATGGAATTGGCTGATTGAAGCATTGTTTTTTCCTAGAATCATTTTTTCCCAGGTCTTCAGCTGGATCAAATGTATTTTCAGACTCAAACTATCATTTGCTAACTTCTTTTCATTCATTAAATTCGATGCTATTTCTTCAGTTTTGGAGATTAATCTATTGACAGAAAGATGGACAGGGACTTGAGCCTCTTTCCTTAATCTTTTCAATATATTAAGTTAGAAAGAAACACTTTTGTTAGTATTATGGTGTAGCACACAAGTACAGAAGTACATAGTAGTACAGAAATGCCAGACATGATATTCATCTACTTTGGGATGAATAGGTGCTAACATACTTACCTTACTG